CATGTTTGGTGTTGTACAAAAAAAAAAACTGCAAAAAAACAAATCCTTTATCTGTTGATAATATGTCTCTGTATATATTACTAGAGTAAAAAGGGATAAAAGTTGTTGTAATACTGCCCCACACAGTTCGTTTTATCTTGAAACTTCATTTAAGCATATGGTGAAGTACATTTTTGCAGTTTCACTAAATTAAATTATGCCTGAAGACATATTTTCAAAGAGCCTATGTTGCCTTTTTGAAAGCTTGGATGCTAAAATGACTGAACAATAAGGATCTGATTATCATTCTGCAATTGCAAAAAGCCTGATAAGCCACAATTTTGGGGGAGTGAAAACACAACTGTGTTTGCCCAAATCTGTTTGTCTTATGTAATACGCCATTAAGCGGTGTAATCTTATTTGAGAGACTCTGTCAGTCACTTATAATCAAGGGTTTGAAAGGTTGGACCCTGATGGCCTCTGTGCAATTTCATTACAACCATGGAGATGGAAAACTGGGGACAAGGTTAAATTGATCCCTGGAGACATTAGTCCAAATGAACCCTTCTACAAACTCAAAGCATTGCTCAAAACGAACGGCATACTGTAAAGATTTCTTTTATGTCACCTCCTAATAGTGTTGTTCACACCAATTTCCCCTTTTCTCCCCCTTGGTTCCCTTGAGGCAATGAGCATGGACAGTCCATTTGGGACAAACACTTTCTCCTGCCTCCTTTTTTGTTTTTAGCACCCAGAACAAACATTGATATCATTCCCCAGCCCTCAGTGATGGGCAAATATTATTCATTATTCTGTAGCCTTAAGTATTGAGGTATCTGTGCACATCCAATGTCTGTTTAATGCAGTTTAAAAATGGTAGTAATCTATGCCACTGACCAATCTTAGGGCGTACTCACACTATGCTATCCGAACCGTGCCCAGGCCCGTTTTCCAGATCATTTGAGAAGTTTGAGTGCTCTGAATCGGGCTCAGGCACGGTTCACTTGGGCGGCCCTGGCCCAGTTGGAAGAGGTGTGCCAGAGAGCGGTTTACTTGGGCTATTTCATATGGATTTATTAATCATTCTTACTGTTCAATGAACGTAGACTGTCATAGAGTATTAAAGACGCAAACCCCTCACTGCACGACAGCTGCACCTTCAGCAAACCTCACAATTCCTGCAGCACTAGGACCTTATAGTTGTTTATGAGCATCAAAAGAGGCTGATCTGTTCAGCAAAATATTTGACTGCCTGTCACAGCATATAAAACTGCTAAAACTATATAACTAAAGCAATGTCCACTGTGCTGAGCGAGAGCGATTCTTACTGAACAGCGCATCATCAATGACGTAAGGCAGACACTCAGGAATATCCAAGCCAACTTTATTGCTGGGTTATTATGTGCAAGTAGAGCTCTATGGTAAATCATTCAAAAAAAGATCTTAATTCAAACACACCCAATCTTATTCCTAAATGATAAGAATTGGCATTCACTTCCAATGATCACTGCAAACATTCAGACGTGCATTTGAGAAGTTCATTTTATGAAATCACTTCAGGTTTTAGGCTTTTAAACCTTACTGTAGCATTAAAGACATATTACAAAAACTCAAAATAGCACAACATCTTGTAGCTCACGAATAAACACCAATGTATATAGTAGCTATCAAAATAGAGTATATCACCTCTTGAGAGTAAAGCAATGCTTAAAATGAAAACTGTATAAGTTGCATTGTTAGACCAGTAGGTAAATATGTTTATCATTAAATGATTTGTAGACATTAAGCCCAATTTATACCCCACAGTGCATCCCTTGCATTTCTGCATTTTATCTAAACTACATTGTTTAATTTTATTTAGCTGTTTATTCAGAAATGTAGAAGAGTCATAATCTCTATTTTATATAATTGTGACTGCACTGCTCAGCTGCCACAAACAAATGGAGAAATACCAGCTGCAGAGACATCATGTTTTTTAATTAGTTTAATTGTTTTTTTTAGTTTGATTTATGAACATTCCCCCCACCCCACCCCACACACACACACACACTGTAAAGCCCCTTTTGTGGAATGAATGTGATCAATAGACACTACCTGTATGCAGTTGTCACTCCTGTAAACTATTGAAATGTTCTTGTACAGAACAGAATAAAGCACTGAAAGGTGCAGTATGTTTGACACCCAGTGGTTGAACTAGGTATTGTAATCCTGGATCAAAACACATGCAAGCGCAGGTTGCCAGATTGAGGACCAACAGAAGTGTGCCATCAAGCCTAAATGCTGATTTCAAGTGTTCACACTTAGCTGATGATTAATTATAAGCTACTTTGGCATGCTGTCCAGGGAGAGAGCCCTGAGCTCCTAAGATCCTCGAACCTAGGGGATCCCAGTTTATTTATATTAGTTTTATAAATAAACTACACTTAGGGCTGATTTAAATCGTATTACTTAATATGGAAAATCGAATAATTTCCATATTAAAATGCATTTATTCTAACCCACACCTAATATTTATATTTTAGAAATGGTTTCTATTTCTTGCGGCTGAACAGCAGAAAACCTGATGACATGATCACCTCAGGTACACCTCGTGTGCTTTATTCAGTGTTGAAAGCTCATAATGTGAGTTTGAATGCCGTTTTACATTATAATAATGACCATATAAAAAGCAGTAGATCTTAAAAATGAAATAAACTGTTTGAAATTGAACTTTAGAACTGTGAAATAATACAAACCAACACATATCAGTGATTCAGCTTGTACATAAATTAATGTTTAATATGTATTAACTAGATTATAAACCTTACTATTTCGTGAGTGGGTACATATTCTGTGTTTCTGAATAGCTGTTCGTGTTTTGTCTGATGCAAACAGCCAAATTGTTTAATCGCTGCAAATCTCATCACATTGCATGTTATTAGGACGCAGGGTTACAATGTAACCTGCTCACCTAATGTTTACATTCGTAATGTTTATATTATTTTCTAATTAATAACCTAATGTGGAATTCTGAATCTGCTTCTCATTTTGGATACAGTTACTGACCAGAGGTCCCTTTTCGATCACATACGCATGCTTTGAAAGCCTTCCTGACTGACTGAATGAATGAAATATGCAGTCTTCCAACAAGCCAACCTGAGATGCTAAAATATATTTGGTTAAAAGTGGCAGAGGGCAGGTTAAAGGGACCAAAACAAAGACAGATGTTTCAGCACATAACGTACATTTTCAAAGCAGAATATCTGACTTTAGCATTGTTTTTCAGATAAACAAGGAGGTTCACGTTTCTTAAACATCTGCAAAACATATTATGGTATTTGTATGCTTTGAAGAGTCGAACACTTTCATTCAGCACCTTTAACTGCAGTTTGTACCACTCTAAGTGAAAAGAAACATTAAAACAGCCTTAAAAATCCACAATTTATACTGTTTTTTTCATATTTATTATTAAGTTTATTAATTTCAGTGTTTGTTGTTATTATTATAAACGCATGATTTCATATTTAAATCATTAACCTTATATAGCATTATTTCTGAATTCACAATGTGTGTTTAAATGCATTTATGCAGCATTTCAAACGCACCAAATATGCCACTTCAGATGCAGCTTCTCTGCTGCAGTGTAAAGTCAACACCACATGCATTTATGCATGCCAAAAATAATGATCTTTGTTTACATAACCATTACAGTCTAAAAAGTTGAACTCAAGCCTACACTGCAGCATTAGGCTCTAGTGGGATGACTCTTTCATGATGATGGAAACCAAGAACACCACTACAAAAAAAAAAAAAAAACACACCATTAAAACACAAATTCACGACGTCAGACCCTATTAACTAAACTGAACATAAATGTTATAACAACTATCATTCGAATCCTTGCCGACAATTCCCTCTGAATTATTACTGAGCTTTCCCAACTCATTGAAAATCCTCATTAAAAACGCTTCATTTACTTTACAGACCTAGCTCTGTTCTACGCACCAATCTCATTCTCCCTCAGCTCCCTTGAGGCGATGAGCATGGACAATCTAGCAGGACAAACGCTGTCTACTTCCTAACCTATGTTTCCACACGTACAGTAACAGGCGCCTGGAACGAGAGTATAAATCTTTGATCACACTCTTCAGTCCTCAGAGAACAGCGGGTATCAATAATTATTCTGTAGCCAGCAGTACAAATCGTATAGATGCATTAATGTGTGTGTGTGTGTGTGTGTGTGAGTGTATAGATAGCAATCTGCCATTTTTAACACAAAGTGTCTCATTTAACCCTTTTCAACTTAGATTTTATGGGTTTACTAATAAATTACGCCATTAGTGGTAGGTCACTATGGGAAAGCATTTACAAGAGCAACTTATTTAATGTACTGTTTCCATAAACGATTCATCAGCTATTCGTTCTGATGTGAGATATGGTTTTAAATCTGCAGACAGCCACAGATCAGAATAAATCTGCCACCTAGATTGCAAATATATATACATATATAAATGGATTAGATTGATAACAACAGTATTACAGACTAGTATTGTTGCATAGTTATTGTGCGCTTGCATTATCATAATTAAAGAATGTGTCAAATAGTGTAAATAAATTCAATGAAACACTTGAACATCAAAAATAATCTGTATATGTATGGTCATTAAAGAAACAACATCATGTGATCCTTAAGTTGAACTCAAACCAACACTGCAGCATCAGGCAATCACGCAGTAATCGGGGTAATTAATGATAATGGAGCCCCAACATGATATCCAAGTTAATTAAAGACCCTTTAAGTAAACAGAACATGAATTTTCTGACTGCCCCTGGCTCATGAAGATGCCCAAATCATTCAAATCTGGCCGAAAACGCTTCGTTTACTTAACAGGTCAGCTTTGGGTGGTCAAACGCACGCACTGGCACCTGCAGATTGAGGTACAAACGCGTTTGAGCGCTTTCACTTTTTGCGACGCATCAAATGACGCTCGACAAAAGACGCTTCACAACTTCGACGCGAATGAAACGAATGCGTTGCTTACCTGATGCGCCTTACTTAATGGATATTCAATCCCCCTTGTATCGACCAAGGGGTCTCTGAGGAGGCTGTTCCGTGGTCTTCTTATGTGGCAGGAGAGTCTGGAATACTATTTATCACTGGCGTCCTCACGAGATCCCCATATTCCCCATGTTGTGCCAAAGGAACGCGTGCGGCGAATGAACATAAGCCTCTTTTCCTTTCCTCTGTTTTCCTTTCTCACTCTCCCTCTCTCACACATGCATTAACACGCACTGCACACACGCCCCAGTGGGCTCTCCGCGCGTAAACGCCATGAGGAGCATCCCTGACTCCAATGCGCATTTCATTGCTCCTATACGCGCGGCTTTTTTTCCAGCGTCTTCAACCCAGCGACGCAGAGAAATACTGAGGTTTGGCCAGTGGAAAGGCTGTTCGACTCACGTTGGCAACGGACGCTAGATACAGGTGGTTTGGCAAATCTCCGACGTCTTCTTCCCAAAGTGCGGAGCGAAGAAAATCTCAAAAACGCAAGTGCGTCTCGCGCTCGTATGGCGGCATCTTGTCTTCATATTGGGCTTCGCGGCAGCAGCAGAGATTCCAGCGTTCGCGCGCTGCGGTTGTCATGGTGTCAGACAGAGAGATGCTGCTGTGGCGCTTGACTCGTGACATCACACAGTCGTTAGAATTGCTACAAGTTTTCTTTTATTGGTTAGCACTTAAGGGGTTTCCCTTCTTATAATTTAACTCTTAGATGATGGAGTTGGAGATGGTTTTACTACGGTGTTTAATCCCCTCTAGCAACAGGGTGATGGTCTTGAGCAAACGAAAATTTCAATAATCACGCTGTGCCATCATTTATTTGACAATCGTTACAAATCCATATGCCTTTTTTACAAGTTGACTGAAATAAGTGTAAAGCACTGTCTTTTAATTGCTCGTTGTCAGACCTAATATGGCACAATTTTCACAATCTAATTGCAATTAGAATATTTGTTTTTTGGGCAAACGTTTATTTTATGATTTTAAGTAATGTAGTGAATTATTAATGTTGCTATTAAAAGGGATAGTTTACCCAAATATGATAATTTTCTCATCCTTTACTTGGTCAAACCTGTTTCTTCTGTTGAACACAAAATAAGATATTTTGAAAAATGTTGAAAACCAGTAACCGCTGACCCTTGTAGTTGTTTTTCCAACCCAGGCTCATTCTGAAAATATATCACTATATACATTTCTGTAGAGTGACAAATACGTCCCAGGAGACTTTTTTTTTTTGCAGTTTTTGTTTTTGCGAATCCACCAGAAGCTGCTGTTTACACTTTTTAAGATCTCAAATTTCTCTTGCGAGTGCCATTCGTGCCTGCTGTTCTTGTGTAAATCCACCAGAGGGCACTGTTGACTGACTGACTTAACGATTGACTGACCCACCCTCCTCCTTCACTAAACTCAACCAATAGTGTCTTCAAAAGCACAGATTGACCTTCCCACCAGCTTCCCAAAACCCAATCGACAGTTTTCAAAATCAATCTAAAAGAAGAAAAGCTTTTGCCTTTTTTTTTTTTTTTTTACATTTTCAGATTTTTCCATATTCTCTCCTCCTGTCATTTACTTTTTATTTTATTTTTTGCCTTCTGTTTTTGTCTTTTGGAATGGTTCTTCGCCAGACTCAAACCCTGTCATTGTGGTCAACTCCTCTCTGCATTTTAAGTCCACCAACGTACATGGCGAGCTACTGGATGAACTGATAACATTGGGATAGCCGTCCATATGGAGGTAAGCAGTAAGCTGGTGAGTGCGAAAAGAAACTATGTCATACCGCCCCCTAGTGTTCATTTTAAAGAGGAAATGCAGCTATACATGCTTCTGGCTACATAATTCGTGATCTCCAGAGATGTAAATATGAGTATGTTTTCAAAATGAGTCCATGTTGTGTTTTTCCTACAATGAATGTAGGCTTACGGTTTTTTAACATTTTTAAAATATCTTATTTTGCGTTCAACAGAAGAAATAAAAATGCCAAAGGTTTAAAACCACTTGAGGGCAAGTATTTTATGAGTACATTTTTATTTGTTGGTAAACTATTCCCTTTAAGTTTTGTGTTTGTATATTGTTGCATTTTACAAAAGTAGATGTAAAAAAAAAAAAAAAAGTAATCATTTACAGAAGGGTTCCTCAACCCGGTTTCTGGAGATCTGCCTTCCTGCAGAGTTCAGCTTCAACCCTGAACAAACATAACTAAACCAACTAACTAGGATATGAAGGAGCACTTGGTAATTAAAGACAGGTGTGTTTCATCAAGATTGCAGCTAAACTCTGCAGGAAGGTAGATCACCAGGAACAGGGTTAGGCACCCCTGAGTCATAGTATTTTAGTTTATGGTGTGTAAACCAAATTTTCTGAAAACTTTAATAAATAAATATAATAAAAGACTCATTTACATCAGAAATACAAAGTCAGAATTGCAAGTGAGAAATCCCAGATTTTTCCTTAATGTTCTGAAAATTGGATCCTAATCTCATGAAGAAAGATAACTATTTTGATTTTTAAAAGGAGGCACACTCACAAACCCTACCCCTAAACCAAGAATGGGCAAGCTCTGTCATGGAGGGCCGATGTGCTGGAGAGTTTAACTCCAACCCTAATCAAACACACCTGCTTGTAGCTTTCTAGTGATCTTGAAGACACTAATTAGCATGTTCTAGTGTGTTTGATTAGTGCTGGAGCAAAACTCTACATGACACCGGCCCTCCAGAACAGAGTCTGCCCACCCCTACTTTAAACCAACCCAGGCTCACTGAAGATGTGTGCACAAGACTACATTTTTGAAAACAGAGAAATATATACCCTGGAGTTTTCTAGAACTGCCCTTCACTGGACTCAAACCCCAGTCCACTTTGCTCCACATCCCAAGTCTGACACAGTTCAAGGTGAGCTACAGTGCAAACCGATCATACTGGAAAAAAGCAGGGGTAAGCAGTCAGCGGTACCGCCCTGTGGCATTCGTTTTACACACAAAATGCAGCCATATGTAATCACAAGCACATATTGGTCAGTTCTTAAAAATATAGCTTCGGCCACATTTTCCCAATGAGCCTGTGTTGCCCTAAATACAACCATCATTAAAAGATGAGCAACTCAAACTAAAATACACAAGTGAGATAATATAATTTAATATGAATAAGCCATCATATCAAAGTGTTATGAATTGCAGTGAGACTGCGTTGTTCCCAACTATTTGGTTTCAATTTTTTAAAAATCAGATTAAGGGAAAGCTTGGAATTTTTTCCTAGAGGGAATGTTCTGTTTATGTAAACAAAATGGCTGGTCAGCAGAGAACATAACAGGAACCAGAAACTGATATCTTTGAGCGCACTGATTATCACAACTATGACTTGCCAACTCATAAATATGAACTTGCAGGAGGACTTGAATGACTTGAGCTCTCTAAATTGTTTATCACCCAAAATTCAAATCTGTATTATCAAACTTTATGCAGCACACTGCATCAAACACTCGACACTAAGCATCAAACGGCAACTGATCGCCAAATGGATGTCAAGGCACGACTGTCATCAACAAATAATGTTTACTGCTAAAAATCTCTTTAGTTTGACTTGCCTAATTGCAGGCAAATTCAGAGAAGTAATAGCATCCGCTCTCAAACGTGTGAGTCAGTGATGTTTGGACAGAGCGTTTGGAAATTTATGTCCCTGGGTATTGACTGGTTGTTCTTCAAGCCGCCTGCAGGCATAGATGTGATTCACAATACTCGTTTTGCCCTTATTAGCTGAGGACCTAAACACAAGAGAAACATTACAGAGTCCCGCTGTGATCTTACACTCATCACCATTAAATAATCATTAAATACACACCTCTTCTCAGCTCAATCCATCATCAAAGGAAAATTTCCCTAATCTTGTCAGAGGACTCTGGGCTCTGCTCTCTCCTCAAAATCTACATCTTTCACATTGTAAAGTCTTGAAAACGCTGAAGAGGAAATCAGTAAACAGTCAGGATTTTGTATTTTTTTAGCAGCTGTTTTACTCTAGTGTGTGTGTGTGTGTGTGTGTGTGTCTGTCGGTCTGTTAATTGGTATGTCCTGGGGCATAGCCATACACTGCTCTTGCTGATTGCTGAATGTGACTCACCTGCTTCCAATCAGCTCATCTGCCTGCAGCATTTAGACTGTGGTTCTTCAGCTATTGGCTGTTTCTCAATTCCAAGAACGGACTTGTGTTCTTGTGGAGACCGGTCTTGCCAGGTGTCCTCGGAAGAACGAACTCAGGAGACCGCGAGGGCAGAGAACGTGTCCTTTGAGAATTGAGATGCTGCGTTCTTCCTGATGGTCACATGACCTTTACGTGTTTTAAATGGTAAATTATTTAAACATTACAGCCTTCATACAACGATTTATTGTTTTTCCCCTTTTCAAAATATATACTTTGCATAAAAAAATTATAAATATATGTTGCACAATATAAATAAATTAGATTTTAATACGAATTTCAGCAAACAAACACCCTTAATGTGTTTATTCCTTTATTAACATGTCCATGGTAATGTTTACTTTCATCGTTTCATTTAGGGAAACTCCTGAGGTAAATAAGTCATATCTATGAACTTTAATAATAAATCTAGATAAAATGCAGCGCTTCCCACCTTCAGTCGCAATGACTTCTGGGACATCCAGAGCAAGTTCGGTGCTCAAGTCTGCATCGGTGCGTCCTCGATATCAAGAACACATCCAGGAAGTTTTACGCGTCCCCTGTACTTGCGGTCTTGAGTATTGGAACTGATCTTAGGCAGATGATGATGACGTTTCACGAGAACACGAGGACGCAAGACTGCTGAAGAACGCATATTGAGAAACAGCGATTCACTGCCAGGTCGCTCAAGCCGCAGTCACACTGGAGCATGGATGTCCAAACTCGGTCCTAAAGGGCCAGTGTACTGCAAAGTTTAGTTCCAACCCCAATTAGACACACCTGAACAAGCTAATTAAGCTCTTACTAAGTATACTAGAAACTTCCAGGCAGGTGTGTTGAAGTTGGAGCTAAACTATCCAGGACCGAGTTTGGGCACACCTGCACTAGAGTTTGAGCCTGCGAAATTCTTTCATACAGCTCTGCAAAATATAGGGCAGGATAAAACAAGATGATTAGACATTAAAAAAGCCAGCGATTGCTCCAAATTTGACATTTTTGTACAGAGAAGTCATGTTTTAATCTTCTATTGGTCTCATGTGATGCGATTTCATAGGTCAGAGTTCACCAAGCTTGAACTTTTTGAAAGGAGTGACATGCAAAGCTTGTTGCACAAGCTAAGCAAGATATAAATCACAGGTGTTAGATCCAGTTCCTGGAGGGCCGTAGCTCTGCAGAGTTTAGCTTTAGCCCTAATTAAACACACCTGATCAAACTAATTGAGTCCTTCAGGCTTGTTTGAAACCTACTGGTAAGTAGAGCCACCCCTTTTACCAGGCTGGCCCAAAGCACTTCACAGTCATGGTGGGTCTATCCACACCACCACCAGTGTGCAGCATCCACTTGGCAGCCACAGGACAACTGCGTCAGTCCGCTCACCACACAACAGCTATTGGTGGAGTGGAGAGACAGTGATAGAGCCAATTCGATGGATGGAGATGATTGAGAGGTTATGATGGGGAAGGGTCAATGCAGGAAATTTGGCCAGGAGACCAGGGTTACACACCTACTCTTTACGAGAAGTGCCATGGAGTTTTTAATGACCAGAGAGAGTCAGGACCTCAGTTTAATG